GTGTGTGTGTGTGTGTGTGTGTGTGTGTGTGTGTGTGTGTGTGTGTGTGTGTGTGTGTGTGTGTGTATCAAACATACCGGATATGCCTGATCAAATCTCTGAGACGAACATATTGGGGTATGTTTGCTGCATTCCGCAGCATACTGGTGATGTTTGGGGGTTCTCGGCGAGACATTGTGCAGATACAAAGTTAAATCAACACCTACGCTAGTATAATCTGTTATTTGTATCGCTGATAAGGCTATAGAACTAGCACGTATGGTATATGTGCTTATGTATTGGGGTGCACGTTCTGACCTGTATATAAAAGAGCTATTTGCAATCTTTGTCTCTTGTTTACACTATCACTATTAACATTTGTTTTTCTTTTCTAGAAATGGTCCACCGATTTGGTAAATACAAAAAAAAAATCAGGGCATACCTACTACAAAAAAATGCACCGATCCCACTTCATTTTAGGACTTTTATGTACACAGTTTATCGAAACTCTCATCAACCACAAAAAACCTGAAAACGAGATGACTGACGGAACAAAGTGATATAAATATAATACGTAGGTCTTCACATCTCATGAGTAGTGGCTTTACAGTGTTAGAAGTCAATGTGTATAAATACTATGTTCACAATAGAGCCAATACGGGGTGTTGAGGATGCGAGCTTTGCCGACAATACTCTCAAGATACACACGAATGGGTCTGGTATTGTGCGTTTGAGACTAACTCGCAAAGGAGAAAGCTCCGAGCCTACTACAGAGAGCTTTCGCGTAATATTGCAATCGTGGAGTGAGAACTGTGAAGGGTTACGGTTTGTATCGCACGGGGCAACATCAGACGAAGAGTTGGGTCTATGCAAACAAACGTATAATGCGGATACGAAAGTGATGGATTTAACGCTTACGCAGGCAGCAAGTAGAATCGTGATGATTGGTGGCGAACTCATTGCTATCGACTTCTATAGGTAGTTGTAGTGCGAGTGCATACTATCAAGTGAATGCTGCGAGTGTCTTGGATTGGGACAACATTGCGAATTGTCTCGGAATAAGACATTTTTGTGAGTTCCTGCACCCTGTGGAGGCTTTGTATGCATTGCTGTCATATCACTGATATTGGCTTCTATAGTGTCGCCGGTTCGAGCTGGTTCTCAAAGGAACTCGTAAGCCTTCGATTATGTACACGTACGGCTTCTCAGATAGGCGAAGGTGTCGAAATATAACGTTGCCGATAAATCAAACGGTGCAGAGAGGAATTGTGTTCTCGCCATGCTTTTGGTCGAAGTATTAGTCATACTGCTGAATCTGAACGAAAGTTTCAATATTATAGCCTCGTGCGAAGCATATTCTGGCACCTAGTATTAGTGTGCTGCCCAAGTTTAGTAACAACATAGACCTGAATACAATATCAATGTACATGATGATTCCAATGGGCCTTGCACATGCACAGAAAAAAGGAAGGGATTGTGGATATTAGACATCCATTGCCTCGTATTCTGTAGGTCTATAGTACTAGTGAAACAATCGAGGTTGAACACAGTTTGCTCAATTCGCTATCATCCGTATCACCTGGCCGCCTTGAGCTCTAACATGCTTAATTTTGATGACCATGTCACTTATTAATGATGGTCTATCAATCTTCAGTATACACTATACCGCTATGAATTTATAAACCACGTGAGAATTTTGCCGCTGCCGTGAGAGCCTGTATGTGGCCGGTTGCAATGGGTTCTGCACATACACGAGAGACTGTGGGTATTGCACACCGACTATATCATCTCGTTCTTGGATAGAAATTCAGTGTTATATTAGAATATGAAATACTGGTCACTGTATATCCCGCTGATATGTTTTGTGCTCGTGGACCACATTTCGCTCAATTCGCATCTATCGGTATATATAATTGGGCCGCCGTGAGCTTTAACATGCTACCTATTGGAGACGGTATTCGCTTTTCTTTAGATCACACATCAATAAAGTATCCTCATGTATAACCCTTCGTAATTATACTTTACACGGCGTGTTTCTTTCAAAATTTTCACTCAGAGCATGCAGTGGTCTTTGCGTATATAGTATATTGTTTAGTCGGGATGCGTGTAAATAATCTGCATTTCCACACCTTTTTAAATTTCATCTAAAACATATCATTATTGACTTCAACCTTTTAGAGCGTTGACACGGCTAAACTATGAGACTGTAGATACAGTCAAACCGCTATCACAGGATAACTACATCTCGAAACTCGCTGATTTACTGAAATGATTTACTGAAATGATTTACTGAAATTACAATATCAACATAGCTCCCTTCATAAGTACGGTCATATATAAAGATATCATCATGTATCTGCCTAGAAATAATATACGAAGTTAATAGAAAATCGTGGCCTTCAGTGTACAAATATAAATACATAAGACACGGTTTGAAATATGTATGAAAGTATTCATACGAATACTTGCCGTACATAGTAGGTACAATATTGACCACATACCTAAACTCAAGATGCACACAGTGTATGACCGGGCCATTTGTGCACGAAGTACAACCAAACCCAAGTCTACTGATGGCAAGATAAACATGCATATATTGTACAGCGAGCCCAGAGACCTTGCCACATTTAGAATATACAGCAGTCATCTCCTCACCGAGTCACAGCCAGGCACTGGCAGTCTACTAGTAGATCTGTATTTACAAGACTCATGAGTGGACTCTAAGGGCCGCCAAAACTCGAATACTGCGTATATTCTTAAATTTTGATTGGTGGAGAAAGACGCGCGCATTTTGGCTTTTTCATGTTACGCCACTTACGTGTGTCGTGCAGTGAAGGCCCTTCTGATAAACGAGGTGAGAGTATAAATAGTAGTAGTCAGCTACCAGAGGTTGTTCAGATAATTTGCATGCGTAAGGAGATGTGCATGTAAATACAACAGGGAACACATACGGTAGACACGTGAGTTCAACACACATCGCAGATTATAGCGTCAAGTATTGCTATTGTATATCAAGTCTCGTACTTATTCCTAAGTAAATTCCAGCGGATAGCCCACAGTGTGCCGAGATGTCTGGATCCGGGTATGATCGGACTAAAGTGTGAGCATGTCATTGATGCTAATCGCTTGGTTGTCCATATTGAAGATTCTTATCATTACATTGATGCTAGCAATACGATTAGCACCCAATACCAGTGTATGTTACTTTTATTTGTGTCTATGAGAATGGTACTACAAAGTTGAGTCTAGGTTTGTGTAGTAGACTTGTGCGAGTAACATACTGCGCCAACAGAATGTATAAGAGAATCCAACCGCACAGCCTTTTATCATCGCAGACAACCAACTATAAAAAATCTGCAGAATCCAGAGTGCACGAACTTCAAACACAGATTCAACACCTATACTAAAAAGGTCAATATACGCCTGCTAAATATACGGCCAGCTCCCATAGCTCCCATTTTCTGTGTGTGTTACTACTATAAGTATATATGAGAGTGATATGTAATTCAATTTGTGCTTCTAACATTTTACAAGCCATCTTCACATAGTTATGGTTTTTATGTTACAGTAGACTGTACTGTATGGAACAATCAGGTCAAGTGCGATCTTTTAGTCAGGGCAGTGCATCGTGTCCTAAATACTCGCTCATGATGCTTCTGGCTATAAAGGTGTCTTAATTTTTCGCAGTGATACATCCAACCGTATACTTCGTCTGAAGTACAGATAAATACTCGCCCATTATGCTTCTGGCTAGAAAAGAGGTGTCTTAGTTTTCCACAGTGATGCATTCAACCGTATACTTCGTCTGAAGTACAGATAAATACTCGCTCACTATGCTTCTGGCTATAAAAGAAGTGTCTTAATTTTTCATAGTGGTACATTCAACCGTATACTTCGTCGGATGTACAGATAAATACTCGCTCATTATGCTTTTGGCTATAAAAGAGGTGTCTTAATTTTTCGCAGTGATACATTGAACCGTATACTTCATCTGAAGTTACAGATATAAACATATAATTAATTTCGGAGCATTCTTAGTTCATAAAATTGCACATAGGCGTAATCATCATCTACGCTAAGCTCTGGTCACATAGTCTACTTCAAGATAGTTTTCGATGAATGCGCCAATTAATCTTCTGGGAGAGCACAATATTTTCTAGATTCACTATCTCACACAAACACTTTACAAAAATTTTAACATATATGTATATATATATATATATATATATGCGCGTGTGTGTGTGTTTGTGTGTTTGTGTGTGTGTGAGTGAGTGTGTGTGTGTGAGTGAGTGTGTGTGTGTGAGTGTGTGTGTGTGTGTGAGTGTGTGTCTGTGTCTGTGTCTGTGTCTGTGTATTATATATATGTATTTATATCTATATAT